CTTCATGCCTTGATAGACAGGGCAACAACTCTCTCAATGCCTGTTCAACAACAGCGGCATTCTCACTTTGGCAGCGACGTCCAAAAGCCGAAAGTTGACTTCGAATATCCATCTTCCCTTTCATCTTACTGATTTCACTTTCAAGCGCAGATAATGCAGGAATTGAAGCCAATGAAGGGATGGTGCTGAAAGTGGTGTGCACAAGTTCACTGTGGCTTCTGAGAATATATTCAACCAGTTCCTCGGCAGTCTTCTTGCTCTGATCATTAAAAGCGTCCCAGTATCTGATCACAATTGAGAATGTTTGATCAATGAGTGGCTCGAGCTCTTCTTCGTGCAGAGAGCTGACCAACACGCTCCAGGCTGAAAAGGCATGATCACTGAGCTCTTCGATGCTAAGTGCGGAACGCAGGCACGCACATATCTGCATTTCTTAGATCAAACTACCGACTTAAAACCTGACGGAATGCTACAGCGACTTACCTGTGGTAATGCGCTGCTGATATGGCCACGGGCAACTTTGATCATCTCACCAATGGCCAAGATATTTCGCCTCTTTTCAATTAGAGGCTGTCTTATTTGAAAGTCGTTGATTGCGTGCGCGAACTGCGTGATTATACCCAGAACATGCTCCTCGATGAAATGGCAAAGCAAATTGGCCTTCTTCGATGTAGCAGTGGATTTGCGGGGAACTAAGGCTGCCAACAGATGGAGAGCTCGATGAAACTACGTTCATCAGATTAGCACAAAGCTCATTGTAAAAGGAACTGGTTCTCACATGCCCGTGCGCCTTTCTCACTCCCTGAATCACCAAGGCCTTTTAACAGATCACAAGCAATCAAGATTGGCTCCGTTCTAACCAGCTCCGCCAAAGTGCGTCCGCCGAAAGCGGAGTCAATATCGGATAGAACAGACATGATCATACCTTCCGGGTCCGACCATGGTTGACTCATCAAAAAAGCAAGAATCGCTGAAAGGTTGTTCTTCTCGGAGCAAATGTCGAAAGGCGTTTTGATATGCTTGTAGGCTGCACCAACCCTCGTGATGACGTCTCGTTTTCGAGTGAGAACAAGATACGGCAGGATGTGAACTTCAGTTAATCTTAAAAGATCATCTACATTCATTCCCAGCAGATCACAGAGTTGCTCGGCCATGTGAGGACGGGATTGGAAATTCTTCACCACCGTTATCGACAATGTCCTCCAGAAAGGCCGGAACAAACCAGCAGGAGTCACAGAAAGACGCTGAGCAAGTTTAGAAAGCTAGAAGGAACTTAGCAGATTACCATTAAAACAAGCATGCGGTCGTCGGTCAATTTCCAAGACGTAAAAGGGGAGACCATCGGGAAACATATATAATCGAATGACTACATACCTCAGTGTACGCTACTGCGCAAATGAATGGATTTGGATGGCCCAAGTACTCCAGTAGACGAAGAAGAATGATATTCATCTCTTCATCGTCGGAAACCCTGTGGGGATCAGATCAGTCTTCACAAACTATACTCACTCGATATTAGAGGCATACTCTGCAATATGGCACAAGGTCAAAATACAAGTCTCATGTAACGGCAGTTCTTGCTTCTCAGAGAGGCTCCGCAGCCATTCTAGTATGACGACAAAGTTGCTTCGACGAGTTTCAGCTTTGATATCCTTTCGAACAAAAGAGATCACCAGATGCCTGAGAATCATCAGCTCCTTGACGACTGTAGAAGAAGGAGGATGGTGGGGGGAGTGAGAGGTAAAAAGAGATGAAGGCAAATCGATTATCAGAATGAGAATGCGAGATGGTGGTCATACCCAGTGACTATCCTCAGCTCTCTAATCGAACTTCGAAGTGAGTGCAAACAGAAGTCGCCGAAAACAGAGGATTTCAGCTGCAGGTAAGGAGACTCAGGAGGAGCGTGGATCAATAGCCTTCGCAACGCGTCCATTGCTGTTACTCTGAGACTGGAAGCGCGTGTAAGTCTAGGTAGAACGAAGGTGAAGATCTCACATAGCTCATGAACATCATGGCACTTCGAAGCGGGCTCAGGACCAAGCGCTCTTTTCTCACTTTCACACACACTGCAAGATAGTGAGCTTTCCGGAGCAGCCTTACTCGGGCTTGAAAGGCTCCCAGCCATCGCACATGCGATCCCGCCAAGCATATACAAAAGGTCGGACTTCTTTTGTTCGGGGAGATCCACGAACGACTCCCTTGCACATTGATGGTCAGCACTCCAAAGGATATATCATGATATGCCTAACTCACGAGATAGCACGACTGAGGTATCCAACATTTACGGATTCCTCGCAGCCCAATAGCTCAAAAGTCTCTCTAATAAGCTTATGGGCCGTGTCAAGGCGGGCGGAGCCTTCTTGTGGCCTCGGAATGTCATGGGGTATAGCATGTTGAACCACTTCATCTTGTTGGCCCGTTTGACCAGCAGCATTTGGCTCTTGCAAATCGACGAGACTCCTACTTTCATCTCCAGATATGGGTCCCATTAATATCTGCAACACAGCCTAGATTTGAATTTGTGAGCTTCAAAGATATTCGCTGAAATATTTTCGCTTGCCTACCTGAAAACCCGGCTCAAACGACTGAATGGTGCCCTTACTCTTGAACTCAATCATTGTTGGTAAAAGAGCGGCTCTCAATTGAGTTACTACTTCTAAACGATGTTGAGACGCGTCGATCAACCCGTCAAGAAGCCGGCCCAATTCCGCCTGAAGATGAGGCATCTGAATCAGGCTCAATGTGACTAACTCGCTACAGATCTGAACCCAGGGACGTGACAGACCCGATCGTGGCGATAAGAGACCGGAAATATCAGGTTCAAGTGAGCAAAAGATATGTAGACTCGACGTAAATTGCATACAAAGGCGTGACTTGATCTCAATATCATCTATCGAGGTGCGCGCCCATCTATGGGTAATTCTCCATAGACGTTCAATTCCATTTAGGATCCAAGCCAGGTCTTGGTGAAGAGTAGAATCTTGAATGCTCGTGTGACTATGAAATGCTCTTTTTGGAACAAATGAGTCCAGTAATCGAAGAGCAAGTGTAACTGTCTGGGGAAATGTTCCGAGCGCAATCTTCCTGCTCAAAAGAGCTCGAGGAAGATTGAGATTGTCCAGGGTCAGGAAGATTGCACTCTTCGCCGCCGGTATCGATAGTCTAACCTCTGACACATGCTGTCTCAATAAGTTATGATGACTCTCGAGCGAAAGGAAGATTTCTAGGACACGATCAGCCAAATAAACCGTACTCACGTCTGATCATTCAACTAACCATTTGTGCACGCTCGGAGGAGTGCTAGAGCGGAATAGCAGAGGGGCAATAACGTTATATGCTTATAATGAGGACGAATGATGCTGGAGAATATGCAGGTTATTCTCTTTCCTATGTTATTCGCCTCCCAGCTGAGCAACTTTAGCAATCGCAATGTTAGCCACGCATACAGAGATACGCTCGCATTCTCTCCCAGAATGGTTGGGTCACATATTTCACCCAAAACTTGCGGTGATTTTTCAAGAATTGTTTGAATGATATCCAGGCAGTCTAGTATCTGGCCTTCAAAATCTCCCTGGCGGGACCTATCGCCCTTCACACAAGGCTCGATGCCTGCTTGCAGCACGATGCAAATCAGTTTGCTAGCATCTGCGATGCTGTCATCTAGACGCAGTTGGCTACATTTTCCATCAACCAGCTCTTGACGCAGCTGTGAGAAGGTTTCCCTAGTCAAGTAACCATGGGCACTATTTCCTTGTGATACCAGGTGCGGCGCAAGTTGAGCTGCTAGTGTCGACGAAGCTGGTTCCGCAGACCTTAACAAGCCGTTTGTAGTGGTGAATGGATAGGAAACCCACAACTCATTGGTCGCCATATGTGTGATAGAGAAAGCATCAAAAGCTCTCTAGCATTGGCTGAAGTCGTTAGAAGCTGAAGATAATTGAGTGCTTATCAAAGGGACGCGCCCCACTATAGAGGTAAGGTATCAGTAAGTAACAGTGTACCTAATCAAGGCACGCCGTAGTAGTGTACAGGTACCTTTACTTATTTGTTACAATGTTACAGATGAATAACGCATTCTACCTACACTAGGTAGGTACGGAACATCATCTTAATGGGTACACTTTGTCTGTGTGTTGATACCTAAATCATTATAGATAATAACATCCTGCTGGGCGGCGCAGCCATAAACAATGGATTATCATTTGCATGTCGTGTGTTGTTTTGTGACATCGCATTAGATGCTGTATCGGGCTTTCCATCAGAAAGTTCTTAGTAGACATCCACTTATTATTGTGTCACTCATAAGTTGTGCAGATTGCATTGATATTCTTTTGCTTTTCGCATTGTGACGTTCTTAGGAGGCTACCGATGATGTATCAGATCAGAAGTAATGAGGAGTTGACGTCGAACAGTTGCCGAGATGCTTATATCGCCTGTGTAAAATCTTCTAGATATTATTGCACACTCACCAAGCAACAATACATCTACGAATCTGACTCTTTCTCCATATCCTGGCGCAATGGAAGTTCAAGGTGAGTTAAAAATGGGAAATTTTCATGGTGATCACTTCGGTGACAAATTTCCCGACTCAGAGCAGGAAGATTCAAGGCACGCATATTTTATGAAGCAAGCCTTGTTGATGGTACGATACTTCGCCGAAGGCTGGATCAACGCTCACAAATACGCTGTGTAGGGCGAGAAAGCGCTCGAATGCGGCGAAACGCCAGTTGGATGCGTGTTGGTACATCATGATAAAATAGTGGGTGCTGGAATGAATGACACCAACAAATCTATGAATGTACGTCGTGGTTCCTGGGTCGAGACAAGCACTCCGGGACATCATCAATCTTTCTATCTTGCTCATTAAATGCACATTGCAGTCATCATGCTGCTGTGGGAATATTGCTGGACCTCGGCTTGTTTCATTTCTTCATTTCAACTTCTTTATAGCTCACTGCCGTTAGGGTACAAGACATGCCGAGTTCATCGCCATTGAAGAAATGCTCCGGAGCCACCCCAAGTCATTGCTCCGCTCGACGGACTTGTATGTCACAGTTGAGCCATGCGTAATGTGTGCTTCCGCTCTAAGGCAGTATCAAATACGAGCAGTCTATTTTGGTTGCGCCAATGATAGATTCGGGGGCACAGGAAGCATTTTGTCATTGCATTCTGAGTGAGTATGTCTGCCTTGAGAACCTGACCCGTTTCTAAACTGCTACCTATATCAGCTTCACGATAGACCCACCATATCCTGTCTATGGAGGATTATTCCGCAAGGAAGCAATAATGTTACTTAGGCGCTTTTATATACAAGAGAATGAGAAAGGTAGGCGTCCAAAGGGTATGGGGTATGCACGGATCTTAGAGATTTGCTGACATCGTCGAGCGCCAAAACCACGGCCAAAGAAGAATCGAGAACTCAAGACGATGCCCGAAGAGGATAACGCTCTGAATCTTGCCTCTTAGGCGGAAATGGTGGCATGCAGTCGTCGCCGAACTTGCTACTTCGTAACCATATTGCTGAAGGCAGATTGTTCATGTAGCTGTATTTCGAGTACGTGGGAAGAGCAATAGGATACAAAGGATACACAAAACATGTCCAGTGTCGAGAACTGACAAGATTCGACAACCCTCTACAAGCACAAAGACTCAGGGATAGCCGGCTGTCGTCAAGCGCTCGGCTTCGAGTTCACGCTCAGCTTGCTGATAATATTTTGCTGTGTCAACACCATGCTGCCATACGTTAGCGAACTGCGAACTGCGTTCAAAATTCTGAGGATAGTGATGAGTAATAAAACGGCTTACCTGGTCGTGATTGACAATGTTAAACCAAGGAAGGACATGAATAAAAAGCTGAGAGTACCGCGAATTCCTGGCCGCAACGCCTTGTAGGTAAGAGGATACTTGTGATGTACCGTATAGCGGCTCGCCCTTTTTGACCTTGTCGACCATTTCCCTCATGTCCATTTCGACCTCTCTGGCATTTTCCGTGAATCCGTAGAAACGGTCTATGCTCGGGTTAATGCATGCTACCAGAGGGTTTCAGTGCGTCGACGTACTGCAAGATCTCTGGTAAAGTATGTGTAGACCGCCAATCAAACCAATTGCTGTTGCCAGTCGCATCACAGGAGCAAAGCCTCCTCGGCCCACATGGGAAGGGCTGACCCTCTCCATAGCCCAGAATGCGAGAGGGGAGGCAGCGGCCATACCCCCAGCCATTGCATAATCAGAAGGTCTAGCATATCCGAAAACTCTTCTAAGGTGCCTATGTTGATGTGAATATCTGCTTCCACAGTTGAGCGCTTGAGCGAAGGGTATTTGACATACGGATCAGAGTCGATGAGCTGCAATGCAAGGTTAGCGATTCATGTGAAGCGAAATTGTACAGGAGATGAATCTGAACGCACCGGGTAGTCGGTATTAGCCCGCTTCGGAGGGATAAGAGTGTTTTTGCCTTCAGCAGCCATTGTGAAGGTACCGGGGGTGTATATGCCCTGAGGTTCACTTTTGGTCGACCGGATGGGCGGTTTGTCACTATAGATGAACTGAGAGGTGCAGCACCAAGATTACCCTTACTATTCTTGGACTAGTAGAAGATCTGGGGCTTACTAAGCAATGTACATAATTAACTAACTATCTCATGGTTGACTTGCGAGATCAATGTGTTAATCGAAGTGATCATACAGCATGCAGTGGTAGGACATAAAAGGTTACGGAGTACTCTGGATAATCATCAACTTAAGATCACTGGGAGTTTCTAAGTGACCGTGGACTGCTAAGTAATGGACTAGAGAAGCATTTCCAAGAATACCTACGGGGTATAAGGAAAGATTTTCAGGTGAGCGTAACACATTGTAAGGTATTGGAATGAAATGTAAGGTAACCTATATTTCTGTGTGTATTCAATACGAAGCTTAACCAAACTGATAATATATTGACATCCCATGTCAGAACGCGTCTGGAGCCTTGTGACGCGTAGATAATCCCAATTAGGCCGCTCCATAATCTCAAGGTTAACAGATGCAGTGTACTCTGCTCTGGTTGAAGACATTTTTGAATCCCAACTCCCAGTCTTGACATAAATCTCCAGATACACGTCATATCTTCTGTCTTGGTCGAAAGTACAGATCTGGAGTCATGGAGATTGAAGGCACACTACAAGACGATCGACCAGCATCACCAAAACGTGCAGACGATCTTTTTGATTATGACTTCGGCTTGGATGAGCTGTGGCAAGAGACGCCGAATATGCCAAATAATGGCGCACCCATGCAGTCTTCTGCACGAGATGAATCAGGACTCGGTTTAGGTCTAGACGAAGAGGTCAAAGTGACCAAAAAGCGGCAACCTGTTGCAAAGCTGGATGAAAGTCGGTAGGTTGATTTGTTAGGCTCAATACTGGTATAAATACTGAATCTATTCGCCGCAAGCCTACTGTCACAGCCTGGTATTCCAAAGTTGCGCCGCACAGCCAAAAAGAAATTGAGATTCAAAGGGAAAGGGCATGAGGTGGGCGAAGCAGAGAACGCCCATTTCTGTTCGTGTTGCATTTCTAACTCGCATTAATGTTATAGTTCTCCGACGCAGCACGCTTGTTGAACTTCTACCAATTGTGGCTTGACGACTTATTCCCCCGTGCAAAGTTCGCGGATGGTCTTGCCATAATTGAGCGACTCGGCCACTCCAAACGCTTACAGGCGATGCGAAAGGAATGGATAGACGAGGAGAAGCCAAAGGTCACGTCAGAAAATCATAACGATGCCCTGCAAGCCTCCGAATCATCAGGAAGTCGGTCCGATGATCCTGTTGTAGCATTTGATGGTCTCAACATGGCGGATACAAAACGATCGAGAGGGGATATTGCTGGTGACCATACGTCTGATGCAGAGGGGATGCATATTGAAGACACTTTGATTTCTTCGCGACAACGCGGATTAGATGAGGGGCTCTTTATGACAGAAGACGATGATGCCGCGCAGCAGCCCGATAACCGGGGAGCACCCGACGACGATGAATTGGATGCACTTTTAAAAGAACAAGAGCTACTCCTGATGAACAATGCCTCTGCCTGAAGCCAATGGCCAACATGTTATCGAAAGCCCCTTTGAACAGGAAGGTTCGAAGAAATAATTGCATGACTTAGAATGATTACCGGCAAGGACTTCCCTCCCATCGTAGTATCAGGGATGAAGTTACAGAGCTGACTTATCAAAGAGTCTAAGTCTCCAAATTCCTAGTACAACTTGCATTCACCATGATATTCCTCAATAGCTGGCGACGAGCCATAGCTGCTCAGGGGATCTATCTGATGCCTTTCAATATTCCTTCTACAGGGTACTTGCATGGGCTATGAGTTTACTCCGAAACAAAAGGTCTGTGTGTGGTGACGTTGACAAAACAGTACCGACAATCAAATTGGTGCAGATAAAGTACAGAGGCGATCTTAGATAAGTTCGCATAGAGCCGACATTAGTAAAGATGGCGTGGTGTATGGTGGACTAGAACCCAGGATTCATCTAGCATTGCGCCCAACATGCCGAACTTGAGCAGTTTCGGATGAAAACAGGAAACGAGGAAGAAAATGCTCGATGGGTGGTAGTCTTTACACCGTTGCTGGTTCGGTGAGGACGGAGAACTGTCCACCAGCACCAGCCCAATTCAGCTTCTTACCCCTTACAGCAGTATTCTCCACCACTGTCGCAACCTCGATATCATCCTGAGTGCCCTGGCCTGTTTGGTAAGTTGCTGAAAAGCCCCACGACCAGGCGCGACCGTCGACGTCGATGGCAATTGAATGATCAGAGCCAGCCGCAACGACAGTTGCTTTGATACCGGGAACAGGAGTCGGCTCGATTAAGATCCTCGGCCGTCCACGTTCGTCCTTCACAACAGCATCATCTGGAAGAGTATCGATCTTCAGGCCTGTCTGAAAGCCATCGAGGCGTCCCCACACAAGACATTGACCATCCTTGGAAACAGCAAGCGAGTGATGGGCACCACCACATAGTTGGACGATATTCTTCCCAGAAAGTGAATCCACGACAGTTGGGTGAATAATGGCAGCCTCGTCGTCACCAGCTCCCTCGCGAATACCCGTTTCACCAAAGCTATTCAAGCCCCATGCATAGACCTTCCCAGTCGCGTCGACGGCGAAGGAATGAAAGGCACCACAGCTGACATGGACGATATTCTTTGGTAGGCCAAATTCACGCGGCTGGAGGCCGTTCAACCTGTTGCGCTCGATGATGCGGCGGCCCAATTGATTTTGTTGACCGGATCCCCAGGAGAATACCGCACCCTTCTCATCCAAAGCGAGGACGTGGTTATCACCACATGCAAGGTGCTTAATCTTCTTGAGGGACGGAATCAGCGTGGGAGTCGGCTGAACTTTGTGTTCGGCATCAAAGCCTAAAATACCGTCGTTGCTCTGGAGAGACCCTGTTAGCGCATCGTTGAGGCGACACCCTCACAGAAGGGAGAGAGGAAAGAACAGAAAAAGAAATTAGTAGGAAGAAGATGCCGCGTGTAACTTACTCGGAAAGTTCCCCAGCCATAGACCTGGCCATCGTCAGTGAGAGCGAAGCTAGAGCTGTCACCGGCAGCGACTTCGACAAAGACGGTCTCAGGAGGAAATTTGTCGGACGAAATGGCAGTGGGAGTTGCTTCATAGGGATTGAGACCGCTGTCATCATCCGAGTCCGAGTCCGAGTCCATATCACTTTTGTTGTCATCGATGTCCTTATAACCACCCTCCCACGTAGTGTCGCGCCCAAGAGCTCCTTGATCGTTGACGCCCCAAGTAAGGATTTTGTTGTCATGCGTAAGGGCGACGCAGTGCATGCCGCCGACAGCTACCTGCACCACACCCACCCGGTCCGCTGGCAAGTGGGGATTAAGGCGCGGTCTCTTCACATCGACCGCATTCTTCGCCGCGCCGAGCCCGAGTTCGCCTGAGCTACCTTCACCACAGACATAGACGTTCAGTCGTACAGTGGGCGCATGATTGATGACCACCTTCGGTTTCGGCTTCTTGACCGGAGGCTGAGTAACACGCGCTTTTTTAGTCTTGACATCGGGCTCTTTATCGACTTCTTCAGCCTTGCGCTTCTTGGTAGCAGCTGCCGCACTGGCACTAGTGGCCTTAGATTTGCGCGACTTTGCAGATGCATCAATGGCTTGAGATTGTTTCTTCGAGGTTGCCTTAAGCTGAGAAGCCGCAGTAGCTTTCGCAGGCTGACCTTTGTTTGCAGTTTTCGCAACAGTAGTTTTCTTGGTAGTGGTAGTCTTGGTTGTGGACGTCGAAGGCTTTGCGGCGGCCTTGGACGCGCTTTTTTTGGGAGGCATTTTTTATGGAATGGCAGAGTACCTTTTCAAGCGGAAAGGGATTGGGATAGTGTACAGAGTACAGTTCAGACTCACAAACAGGATAATCTGGGAGCAGATCAGAATGAAGGAAGAGAAAGACAGAGAAAGGGAGAAGAGTAGAAGATTTGTAGAAGGCTGGCGCCACAGAAGAGTAGAAGGCTATCTTAGGATTCTTGACTAGTGCTTTTTTATTGTTGTTGTTGTGTTGTTGATCGGACTGTCATTGTTCAGGTATTTTCATTGGAGGAAACATGTGCGGGTACAGAGTACTCCGTGGTATTGTACTACCTATTGATAGGCTTAGCAGCGCATACATTTTATCTTCCCATTCAAGGGACATTCTAATTTTTAAAGATCCATCTCAAAGCAGACAACAATACCCATGAATACTGAATTGAGAAACTAGAATAATAGGCATCCTTATTCACACATAGTAAACTGTCGGCAGGGCTATTCTATGGAGCCTTTCCAGTTAACTAGTCACTATTATTAGTCCTTTGAAGCCAACTATAGCGGGAGATCAACTCATTCAAGTGCTCAATACACAAAGATATGATGTTGAATCTAGCCCAGAAACTGTTCGTTCTGCCACAAATTTAAAATCCCACTTGTTTCTCTATGTTCCTATTATTACCTAGCAGGGTTATTCATGACTATCGTTACCATCATTAATGCCTGCATTATAACAATGCTAATTAGCGTCCACTTGTGCAATGGTAAGCACAGTAGGACACAGCGCCCCCCCCAGGGATCTCATGATGCTGCTCATCGCTAAACTGAGGCAGGCGATTGGACTTTAGCCATCAGATGGAGCAGCACGAATTTTCCCACACATTATGACGTTCTGGCCTAGCGGTACCCATTTTATCTCCCTTGGATTGAGAGCGGCATTCGGTTTACCTTGCTCATCTCGCTTTGAATCAGGGCTCACTCCCACCCCGCCACGACCCAGGTATGTTGGAGCAACGGTGACAATAATAGAGTCAATGAATTGGGTGTACTCGGGATTCAAGAGTTCGCTCAGAACTGTCCCACCGCCTTCGATCATAACACTCTTGATGCCCTCGGATGCCAATGCGCGTAGAATAGCTTCCCAGCGCAACCGCCAGTTCTGGTTATATTCGACTATACGCAGAAAGTCCCCTCCGTAGCCTTTCAACATCATCAACTTCTGCGGATGGATCTGGGCTCCAGGGGACACGATGACCCACGGAGCTTTCCCTTTGCCCTCGACTGCAGTGCGAAGCATCCTGCACTCAGGATGGACTGGCCATCGTCCTGTCGGATCGATCACCACAGGCCGCGGTTGCCACATTCTCCCAAGGCCCCCAAAACCGCCTGCACCTTCTAATCTGCAGTTTAGTCCGGGGTTGTCAGCTAAAACAGTGCCCACTCCGATGAGTATCGCGTCGTGGCGTGACCTTAAATAATGCGTCATCAGCTTGGCTTCCGGTCCCGAGAGCACTGTCTGCATTCCTGGGAGAAGTGATATCTTGGAATCCATTGATGATGCATATGACAAAGTGACATGAGGCAATTCGCGCTTCTCGTCGAGTCTCGGAAGGTAAGAGTCAAGAAATTCCAACGGAAATTGAGGAAATGACAATGTATCTGGCGGTAGAGGGGACGGGCCTGTTAGGTTCGGTGGCTTTCTAGCGATTTTTGGCTGGTTTGTGTCGCTAGTACTCCGAGCTCTCACGATCCCGTGCCCTTTTTGATAGGTGTAACCTTCGTGCGGCACAAGTTTGACTTCTGGATTTTGGATGCGCCATTTTGCTGAGACATTGCGGACATCCGTGACTGTACAAAATTTACCTCCGGCTTCAATCAATTTTTCAGGTTCCTCTTGAAATTTCGTGTAAATAGAAGAAGGCAGGTAGCCCTTGACCGCCTCCTTTCGCGCAAACTCCATGAGCCCCGAGTTCCGCTTTACTTTGTCTATATAGTCAAGATCATGGGAGTGTACGTGGCTGCTACCGGGTGTCCGCGCAATAGTGACAGTGGAATAGGCGCCTTCAAACCGAACCACCTTGATTTGGAAATTGCACATGCCACCTTCTCGAACGCGTTTCTTGCGGGGACGTTTGCCCTCTGGCAATGGACGTGTCTCTGACGTGCGATGGGTTGGACGTCGTAGACGGCACATGTAATAGTCTGTGGTGCAATGTCCCTCTTTGCTGGAGTTCGACCGTTGCTTCACCCAGACATTATCAATGAAAGGCCAATATGTCTCGAACTCCTCAAGGCTGATTTCAATAGGTTCTTTGCACTCAAACATGACTTGTCGTATCCTTGCAAGATTGGGAGGATTGTCGATAAGGCTATCGCTTGACAAGGTGCCTTGGTTGGTACTGGAGGAAATAGACACATCATTGTTATTCACTTGTTCAACGATATCACTTTGTGAAGCCACACCGGTTTCTGTATTACCAAAACCTGTTAATCCTGGAGATTTTCCTATGGAATTCCCAGCGTGATAGTGCTGCGGTTGACTTCCAGAAGCCGTGTCATGGTGCGCAGTGCTGCTGTGGCCTTCTTTTCCCGCACTTCCAATCAGTCCAGGTCCCAATCTGGGGATTGGCCGAGACACATTTTCATTGTTGTGCAAGATTCCCGTTTCTTGATCAGATTGTATTGGCTTCGAGCTTGAGTCAGAGGCATCGGAGTGGTCATGATCCATGTCGAGTGAGCAGTGTCGAAGCTAGGTTGCAGCTCAATGCTGTAGCAAGTTACATGTACGGATGGCCCCACACCCAAAGCCGCAATCTTATCTGTTTATCAGTTTATTTGTAGTGCCATCAGTACTCCGTACAGAGTATCTAGCTTGTATGAAGTACGGAATACAGAATAGGTAATACCTAGTAATACCGAGGTGCAGATATGTTCTTCTCTATTTTTGGCGGACAGTATAAATGCACCTAGATTTCGCATGTTCTGTCTCGGGCTCAGACGCGGGAACCGTCTTCGATTACTAAAGAATTAGGTCTCAAGTTGCTTGGAAGAGTGATTGCCGGATTAAGCAGGCCTTTGTATCTGCGCCCGGCTCACGCCAATTTCAGAGCACCGGCTAATACTGAGTTCCAGGGAGGGAATGAGATAGAAAGTTGAGGCGGGCTAGAGTGAGAGTAGAGAACGCCATGAAGAGAGGAAGTATAGCCTGAGATACCTTATCTGGTCTTTGGCTCGCCAAACTGAGCAAGATGCTGCTACGCAGTAGCAACTAATGGAATTCAGGCAGTTGGTTCTTCACAAGCAGCGTTCTTTGATTTTGCATACCTGAATTCTGAGGTCTGATACGCCGACTACCTAGCCAGATACTCTAGATGATACCACTAGTAAGCCCCGATATCCGCTCCGGCGCGAGCAAGAGTCTCATAGACTCTCGGCGGTAATTTGTACTTGACCATGCCGGAGAAGATCATCAGATCCTTGGCCATGACGAGTAATTCATCAGCTAGGCCTTGCCTGGTCTCGTTCTCATATACTCCAGAACTCAACCTTGCCCTTTCATGGCCAATGCAAGTGATACTCCACATTATCACATGCCCCACGTTACGTGCAATGATTGGAGGGAAAGACGAGAAAGCTTGAGCAGCACTTCGAATGAAGGAAACCGAGCCTCTGGCACGCAAGGGTAAGATGTTCAGTTCATTGATAGCCTGAGGGAGAGTTAATCAGTGGAAGAGAACGAGGACGAGGTGTGGAAGTGAAAAGGGGTGAGACTTACATCCAGAGCCGGCGTCCATTGGCCTGCTTCAACTTCTCCCTTCGCCTCCATCATTCTAAGCAATAAACCGCAGGCATCGCGATTGATCTGACGGATTCGTTGGTAATAAAGAGCGTTCGTATTGTAGAGGCCAATCATATTCTTCGCCAGAACCACCGGATCATCCACCGCTGTAAGACTTAGGCTACTTCCAGGTTCCGCGGCCTCTTCATGTTCATCATTGGCATGCTGTTGAAGATCAGTTCGTGGCCGCAACGGCTGCAGCTTCAAACCGGGGCTCCCTAACTCCATTGCTACAGCATCCGAAAGTGCTCGGTTGATGATGTCGATTACGCGGTCGTAATCCTCAGCAAGGTGATACAAGAGGACCGCATCCGTTACCAGCCCCTTGTCATCCGCGATCGCAGCAGCTTGTATTGTTATGGTTTTCAGAAATTCTTCTTGATCGACCAATTTGATCAAGCTCATGCGCTGCTCAATCAAGCCCTTAATTCGAGTCCCGTCCGAGCGGATATCACCAAGTAATTTGGCAAAATCCCTCGTCTCTAGAACAAATTCCCGCAATGCTTCGTGACACACGGATGCTTGAGATTTGCCCAGTGAACCTGGGAGGTCGGCGTTAAGACAGAGCAAGCAAAAGTAATCGATCGCTGCCTCAACATATCCAGTACGAAACTCCCTTGTGTACTGGGTGATGAGATGTCCGAAATTGATCTGGGGATATTGTTTCACAGTAAATGATACTAATTTTGTCAGTAGACGTCACAGGGAAGTATGAAGCTTGGGAAGAAATGCTTACAAATTTCTTCCGCAGATGTGTAGAAGTCTGACACACGTAGCAGACCATAGTACGCCAAGGCGATTGCGAAATGCACCGCACTGACTGGCGCATAAGAGCCGAGGTATGAAACTGCCTGTTCGAACATCCCTCCTAAGATCTGCAGTAGAAAGAAAATGCCGTAACCACCGGATGCCTCCTGGCCCTTGCCAAAAATGCGCTGACCGATCTCGGCGATATCCGTCTGGATATCCTCGAGGCCAAAAACATCCCCAGCGATTTCTTCAGCACGGTCATCTTCTCTGGCCAGACTGAATTGAAGCCACATCCAATCTTCCACACTCTGATTTATGCCCTCCAAGCGCCTACGGGCCAGGTCGCACCGGCCAATGATCTTGTAGCAAGCCATGCGATACGGATCAACCGTGTTATCAGGGGCATTGCGTGAACGCTGTTGATATTCACCATTGATCTTTTGCTGCAAATCTCGCGGTAGCCGTCTGCTCTGTGCATAAGTCGTCATATATGTCACGAATTTGTGATCAAGGGACCGGAAGCCAGGATCTTGGCTAACATATTCAGCCGCTTCGGTGATGAATCCGCACCGAAGAAGATAGAATATCAAAATCCAGCAATAATCCTGCCCGACCATCTGTAGCTCCGTTCCGTCTGGTGCAAGGTCTTTCCTTGCCGCCCTCAAGCGAATATAGGCTCGAATTTTGTTGATAACCGTCGGAATTCCTCCAAGTTGCGCTTCTCGAGGATTCTTTGCGATCATATTCTCGACTTCGTTGTAAAATACTTTCTCTAGGAAGGAACGAGAGCCCTCGACTATGCGTTTTTTGAGGTTCGTTGTCCGGCGTGAGTTTGGTGTCTCATCCAGATAATCCTCAGAGAACTGTCGTTCTCTCACCATACTAGGATCCGAGGGACTGGTGGTGCTCGGGGGCTCTTTGACGATACTGATCAAAGCTCGGTACGCATCAAAAAGCTGGCAAGGTACCTAATACAATTAGTCGACCTTGCGATCATGGCTGTATCACCGTAACTTACATCACCACCAGCATGTCGCTCCACTTCAGAAAATTCATGAAGAAGCGAAAACACTCGCCCTTGAATCCGGGCGGAATTTAACAGCTGAACTTTGTCCGCGTAATGACCCATTTTTTCGCGCAAAAATCGAAGATCCGGGGAGTGAGTTCCAGATGCATCGCTGCGTTCCAGGGAATCCTCGAAAAGATGATGACTTGCTCTCCCAGTTCCAGGATTGCCTATGACTGACTTTCCCAGGCCGGAACGTCCGAAAACGCTCCGCCGGGAGACGCCCGCAGCTTCGTGGGACGGCAAAGAACCTGTTAGTCTAGAAGGTCTCGTTGAGCGACCGAATGAATTTCTCATGTCGCCAACAGTGCCATCCTTATGTGCCAGTCCAAAGTGCTGAAAGATTTTCTGGCGCTGATCCTCCCAGTCTAAATCCACCTTCTCCTCCAGGAATGTATCAAAGTCTCTCTGAGCTCGAGCAAGACTTTCGGCAATCATCACTTTACGCCCACGCTGTTGTATGCTTCTCAAGAATTTCTGGTTGTCGGGGTCAAAAACCTCCTGTTCCTTTGGAGGGAGACCTATTGAAGCCTGGGGATCTAGTGCTTTGAGGCCCCGTAAAGCATGTCCAGGCGACACGCCCGATGCGGCAAGAAGATAGTGGCTATAGAAGATAGAGATCAGCGGAATAATCCAAATCATAACCCAACGCCAGGCAAAGGCAAAGCTTACGCTTTACTGGTCGAAGCAGGATGCAGGGGGTCGTTCAATCCTCTACTGCCGAGTTCTCTTGCTTTCCTCCGAATGTCATCGAGGCCTAGTTGAAGGCTCGGTAACTCTTCGAAATTGCTGCCTTGGCCAACTGAAGCAATTGGTCTCTTTTTGCCGCGCTCTAGGAGGCTGTTGAAAAATGCGGGCTGAGTAGTTTGGCCAGAGGGTCGTGAGGATTGTCCTGAACTCATCTGTGCTTGATCATGTCCAAAGATCGAGGACTGAAGGGGCTGTTGCTGGGTTGGCGGCTGATTACCAAAGAGCGAAGCATTCGATGCAGCTTGAGTTGTGGAAGGAGTCCCAAAAATACTCGTTAAATTGGCAGCCGAAGCTGAGCTCGCCGGTTGAGTTGCGGTTCCTAGGCCACCAGCTCCAAATAAGGAGCCAAGGTTTGTTGCAGACATCGAAGCAATGTGCCGCGCTGGCTTGGTCTCGGATACGCGACGGTGAATGAGCTTGATATTTTCGACAAGAACAGACTGAGCCACAAACGGTGCTCATTCAATTCGGGCGATCTCTACCAAGGGTTAGAGCAGGTAATTGGCACTGGAAAGTATATGAATGTGGGAAGCTCGCAGACTCATAAAAATGTGTGGAACAGAAGTAGATGAAAAGGAACAATGTAAATAACAAGGAACTAGCAGAATAAGACCTTACATCTGCTTGCTGGTCTTTCCAACTGCTAGAGCAGTTTGTGTTTACCAACTGTACAAAATATTGTAGTTACCATACTCCGTAAATATAGTGAAAATGGCTTATTTGCTGCGCAACAAGCCATGTCGGAATTAATGTTTCACCGGTTGCTTAGATCTGAACTTTATTACCTCTATCCGGTAGATACTCTTCTCAACACTATGAGATTTACAGAGGATAATTAAGGGAAACAATACTCCGTATTTCTTCATCCTCTTGAGTACCCACGCGCAAAGTGCCGCGCTTGGACTAAAGGTTTGATTAAGTGAAAACACAGTGGTCAGCGTTCAATATGCCTGTTTTTCAGGCAAAAACATTCCGGCGTGCGACAACAGCCTCATTGTCGCTGGGAGAACGGATCGGCGCAGCATATAGAGGAAGCCTACCGAAGCATCCTTTTCTGCTCTTTGGTCTTCCATTCATCATGATCATTGTTGCGGGGTCTTTCGCCTTGACTCCAGCCGCCGCTTTAAGATATGAAAGATATGACCGAAAAGTGAAGCAACTCACACAAGAGGAAGCTATGGAGTTGGGGCTCAAAGGGGCAGATGGGGAAGAGGGAATCAGGAGAAATCCACGCAGAAGAGTCCTTGGAGATGAGAGGGAGGAATATTATGTGAGTTGACCTAATTCAGATGAGCTTGTTCTAAGGCTATCATTAACATCTGTTCAAGCGGCTCATGGCCAAAGACCTGGATAATTGGGAACAAAAACGAGTCCAGAGGTTCAAGGGGGAACCCGATGGGAAACTTTAAGCTTCTTAATAGCTGAACAACGCCTTTCAAATACAGGCGCTACTCTTACAGGTTTCCAGCAGGTTATTTTTGTCTACCCCAGGCTTATGTTGGCTGTGGCAGCCACAAGGGAACCACATCTGATGATGACATGAATTCAAAACCTAATTTTCATCCTGGTGAGAGGCCTCATATCTTTTCTAACTCTCGCATGTCTGATATGTCTAGAAGCTAATCCAACCCATTAAAGTATATTCGTTCATCTTAGAACTTGAGCTAAGCAAGCTAAATCGCCTTATTGCTATTGTATCCTTAGACCTCCATTTCATGCCTAGTCTCTTTGAATCATGGATAAAGTGCCATATCACAAAGTGCTCATTATGATATTCTACCCTTCTATACTAAATCGAGGGGTATTCTTTACTAGTATAATCAAATGATAGTGTACACGGCGGCGTAGAAATCAGCATGATGTCCTCTAATACGGATTAAACATGCAATTACTTTATATATTAAGATGTTAGCCGCTTCTAGACGTAGGTTAGTGAGTAAAGTTATGCATATATAGGTCTTCTGGACATCACTCAGACAGTCAGACTAGATTAGCACACATGAGTAACCAATAAACATATAATGATATTAGCCTGGCAGGTGACTGACAATGCACCCAGGGCTGACTACTACCAGAAGTACTAGTTATATTATATCATACCTGTTAGTTACCTTGCATAAATCATGTTGCAGTAACACAAAACTGTAAGTGGTAATACTTCTGTCAGATGCTATTTGTGTCACGGCTCTGTCGCTGAACAACAATAACATGATTCTCAGGTGTTCTCCTTTCTGATTAGAAACCCCCCTTTTAAAAGCCTGATGATGCCTTGCCAGAGTTGCCACAGCATTCTTCCAGGTTTCTGAGGGGGCTCGTCAAAGATCCAGAACGGCCGTTCAGTCTCACTGCATGGATTTTCTGCATATTTGCCGCTTGACGACTGTCCCCACCCATAACGTCATACCAAGGGAACATCTTTTCTCTGCCGAGTTTCTCAAACTCCATTCGCTATTTCCATGTCGGTCTGCTGTTCACCTCCTTATACCAGTTGCATTCATGATGGTAAACTGGTGATAATCGACTAAGACCAATTCTTCTGTACGCGTTTTAGCCTTAGCTGCCATTATTAGAGACTTATGTGCCGAGTCTGGTGTTTCGTCACATATTGATTTCTCTCATGCGAGTCTTATAACCAGGTCAAACAAGTGTATGGCTAGACTCCAATCTGCCCATCTCGAAGAACCCCCAATCCCGTTTCTCAAAATCTCGACGACGGAATTTTTTTATAATCTATTGGAGTTTTTTTGGGGAGATTTTAATACATTACATTGCCCCCCTCTGGTGCTTTGCTCTTCCATCTCACTCATTACCTCTCCTGAACAGAACGCTTCTTGATATCAACACCTCTGTGGCGCCGAATTGGAACGAGCTTTACTTTACTCCTGACCTGCCATCATTCATCGACGAGATTCGGGTCTGAGGAAATAATGATCCGTGCTTAGATCAAATACTCGAATTAATACTGACATCTTTCTGAAAAGAAACTGTCCTTGCGGAAGCCGGTGTCTTGCTTATTGCGGCATTTCGAGATGGCACAAGGACATCGCGCTTGATTGTGGGACTGCCGGTATTCAGAGATTAACCAGCAGGCATTCTAGCTTTGGCTATCAACATGTCCACTACGGCCGACCAGAGACAATCACCTTCGTCCCCGTGGACTCAGGAGTCACAAAGCCTGCAGTTAAATGGTCTTTCAAGTCCAGCGTCTCTCTTGTCACTGCGAGATACCAATTCGCCTCCCACCAAAAGTGGCGACGGCCTGCAAAATGCCTTTTTTGAGCAACCGAGCCCTAGCTATTTCACCATCAAGGTTGAGGACTCGCGTGACAGAACGGTTGCGAGAGAAGCGACCAATGCCAAGAACCATCGACATCCATCATGGATTCAAAATTTGCACTTGAGCCGCAATGCGGACTTAATTGACCCAGAAATTGCGAGAGGATCGGTAGATCTGTCTTCGGCTCGCTCTGCGAATGACGCGGGTTTGCATAGAACGTCATTGAGCGGGGATTCGAAACAAAAGGATTCAATGGCCACTTATGACAACACTTTCTCGGGGAGCCTGGCCCCGACTACTGTCAATATCATGTCATGTGAGCAATGTGCAGAATTATTGGAGACTTGTGGAAACGATGTTTTGTTACTAGATGTGCGGCCTTATGCACATTATGCCAGGGGACACATCAAGGGATCGCTAAACCTCTGTATCCCTACAACGCTCCTCAAACGGGCTTCCTTTGACACGCGGAAGTTGGCCAACACCTTCACGAGCGACATTGACCGGAGATCGTTCTCGAGATGGAAACAATGCCGCTACATCATCGTTTATGACGCTGCTACACTTGACATGAAAGATGCGGCGCCAATGATCAATATGTTGAACAAGTTTACGGCTGAGGGATGGAATGGCGAAGGTTCGATCCTTCGGGGTGGGTTCAAGGTCTTCTATAATCAGTTTAATGCGCTTGTTCAGCAGCCCGAATCATCGAACCCTGGAGTATCTTCAAGGAAGCCTAATTCGATGCAGATTAGCCTTCCTTCTTTTGCGCCTATTGCTGGTGGCTGTGCTTTGCCGGAGTCTTCCTCTGCCGCCATTCCCTTCTTTGGAAATATTCGCCAGCATATGGATCTTATGGGCGGTGTTGGTCAGATTCCGCTCCAGCTTCCACAGAATTTTACAGACTCCAAAAGACGATTGCTTCCACGATGGCTTTGTGACGCCTCCGACGTTGAAGATGGAGGTCAGAAGGTTTCAGAGAAGTTCCTGGAGCTCGAGAAGAAAGAATTAGACCGTATGAAACAAGCTCTATCATATGAAATGACCGGAGTTTCTACGTCTGCGGAAGCTCCGTCGAAGAAGTATCGAGTTGCAGGGATCGAGAAGGGCAATAAGAACAGATATAATAATATCTATCCCTTCGATCATTCCAGGGTTCGATTGCAGGATGTTCCATCAGGAGGTTGTGATTATGTGAACGCGAATTACATGAAGGCTGAATACAGCAATAAGCGCTACATAGCAACGCAAGCTCCCGTGCCCGAAACATTTGATGTAAGTTCATTTTATCGATTGACGTCCTTCCTATCTACACCTTCAAGTGAAGATTGCCCGCGGCAAGATTGAGACAACCAGGCTGATGGAGACATAGGACTTTTGGCGTGTGATCTGGGAGCAAGATGTTCGACTCGTCGTTTCTCTCACGGCAGAAATTGAAAGAGGCCAAGTTAAATGTCACCGGTATTGGGAGTCAGGGAATTATGGGCCTTTTCGAGTCAATAGCTTTTCTGAGCGACGCATTCCTATGAAAGCGTCAGGGTCCCACCAGAACCAGCGTCAGTCGACCATGTCATTGTCGGATCCTAGCGAAGAGCCCAGCGATCCATGCATTATCGTCAGACATTTCGGCTTGTCACACTCGGCTTTCCCATTTCAACCACTGCGAGAAGTTACCCAGCTGCAATATCCCTATTGGCCGGATTTTGGTACTACCTCGCAACCATCACATCTCCTTCAGCTAGTCGATGAATGCAACGCAGTCATACGGGCAACAAGTAATACGTGCTTTGACGATCGCGAGGCAATGCCAACCGAACATCGACCTGTATTGGTGCATTGCAGTGCGGGATGCGGCCGTACTGGTACCTTCTGTACAGTGGATAGTGTTCTGGACATGCTAAAACGGCAGCGCACTGCACGAAAGACCGAGTCTCAAGGAATCAGTGAACGGCCTGATACTGGGTGGATTTATAACGATAACCTGGACCTTATTGCAAAGACAGTCGCCGACTTTCGAACTCAGCGACCTAGCATGATACAAAATTTGAGCCAGTTTGTCTTATGCTATGAAAGTGTATTAGAGTGGATGGTCGTTCAAATGGACGAAGGATGTGAAAATCCTTGACTCATGCGCTTTCCATTGCTATAACTAGCATCTGCAGCAAGCATTGAAGCTACTTGGCTCTACAGGTGACTGAGAGAGATATCTCATTCACAATCTGTCACACATGTTCTATTATATACGCTACTTGGATCCTAGAAAGTTATATATGATGCAGTGCAAGCAGAAGAACATATTTTCGTCTGGATTCTTTTCCCGTTTCCATAAACTCGTTTTCCGGTCGTTCTCAGGCAGAGAATGGGTTGGCTTGCATATATCTAGAGATATCAGCGGGGATATGTATGGATTGTGCTCTGGGCTAGAGTCGCAATGAAGATAACTCAAGTAGGGGAGATGGACTTGATGGCTTTAGTTCTCGGTAGACAAATAAGGGAACATTAAGCCCACTTACTGCACATATCACTGCTAGATATGTTCTGAATATACCTCAGGGCTCTGATGCCTAAAGTGCTGCCTGAGGACGAAAACGTATGTTATTCTTGAAAGATTCGCAAACAGGCAACAATGGCGGGCGGTGATACTAAGAACTATGGGATCAAGGCAGCCCCCACTCAGAGCCTCTCATTTTCCGGGACCTATAAATGATATGGCAGTGATGCAAGGCTGATGAACTATGATTTCGTTTCCCACGAGACAATTGCTAGCAGCTTCCTCCAACTTCTGTCACAGTTGTTCCATCTAAACACCAGCCAAGCTCTGAGCCATGTTGCTCGATCTTCCACCGGAGCTAATCCAGCTCGTCCTTCAAAGTTCGACTACGCCTTCCTTTCTACAGGTGGCATTGTCCTGTCGAGCCCTGTATGAGATTGCATCCAGTAGCCGGGAAGTGATTTTGCATCATCTGCATAAAACACCCGGCTTGAAGGTAGACACACACAGTCTCAAGACCAGGCAACTTTTTCAGCTGCTCATGAAGCGCTCGTTCCAGCAGCTATATGGTGCACAGTTTTCCGCGAAATGTACAACATTCTGCTTTGAGCATTTTGCGCTCGATGCTCGAGCATCTTCGCTAGCTTCTCATGGTGACCGAGACATCGCTCTCGTTCTGAAAGGTCGGCAGGATGCTTATGTTTTCCAGGCCAAGGACGGGAAGCTGCACCTGAAGGCCCAGCTGAGATCATCTGAGGATCAACCAGGAAGGATAGAGGTGCTCAAAACAGCATTTGACAGAGAAGGAGGCGTTAACGTTCTTTATCGTCTGGTGCCAGCGATAGACGAAGACGGTTTTGGCGCCACACATCCGTTCGTGAGACATGCAGTACGGTCTGGTCCTCGTGTTAGTGTCTGTATGGCGCGTCACTCGCTTCAGACACTCAATGAGCCCATTCGTGTGTGTGCCTTTCCAGACCATGCGGAGTATGACCCTCTGGCTCTTGCTGCTGCCGGAGAGAGCACCTTTGCAATCTCTTGGCAGCACTTCCGTGAAAGCGACGATTATGAGGTTGTTCTGTACAACACTCCAAAACAGTCGAGCAGCAACACTCCTGGAGTAATTGGTACGTTACGCTTCTCTGCTGTCCAGGTTCACCCGGTGCTCTAAATACAAGGACAGTCTTGTCATTGGTCATCATCTGATGCAAGTATAGATTGCAATTACAATGCTATCACACTTATCGACGGGAATAGACAGCGACAGAGTAGCACCAGGTATCGTCAAGAGGGTCTGTCCAGCCCTTATGATAATGGTCCTGCCATCGACATTTCCTTCAATGACAGATCAACCCAGTTACTCTATTATCACCGCGCTCAAACGTTATATGGTTCCTTTCAGAGAATTCAGAGTATAAGTGCGCACCCCCTCGTGGACCCACAGCCAACTCTATATCAGAATGCGTGCATGGTGCAATTCTCGGACACTTTGAGCCTTCTCTTTTCGATTGCGATACCCTTCTTCGGTACACATGCGAGGCGGAATGAGAATAATGCTGAAATGTGCCATTGGCAGTACCTTTCCTTCGGTATAGCGACCCATCGGAAGGAGAACTGGACTGTCGCGTGCCTATTGAAATCCGAAGCTCGATGTCAAGCTCAGAACTGTGGGCATGTCTTGAACCTCGACCGTGGGCGACGATTTTCGCAATGGACAATAGTTGCTCGGCTATGGGGATTCCGGAATCCCACAAATTCTCTTGGTTGTAAAATTGCCGCGTCGGATCGTGGTACTCGCCTTGCTGTCGCAAATTGGAACGTGATTTATGTGTGGGCTCTTGAGCCAGATGCACTTATCGAAGAAAATGCGAATGGATTTTACCCTACATACTTTCGATCAACAAGTTCAGGGATGATCGAACTACAACCGATTGTTCTCCCGCTGGATGCCGTGTGCTTCAACCTCGGCTTCACGCATCAAGAAGACGAACTGATAGCTATTACCGATCGGGGCGTGATGTACTGGGACCTTGGCCCGTTGGGTAAAGGGCAGAGAATCACTCAACGGCTGACTTTCTAAGAGGGGAGAAGATTGAAGTGAAGAAATAGGCGGAGGCCTGAAATTTCGTTTACTGATGAACATGCGAGGAAGGTGACTTTGATACCCCAGAATTTCTCTTTTACAGAACTATGTATATTTTGCGGCTAGTTGCCTTTAGAACGAGATGATCATGAGCGAGGGAATCAGGATCAACAGACACCTACGGAATTGTCTCTCATCCTTACTTCTTCATCTCCCCGATCTGGCGTATCCCAACTTCCCACGGCTAACTCAAAGCCTACATTCTAATCTCATCGACGCCGTCCTGTTTTTTCGTTCTATTTGAAAGACCTCCCTCGTTTCATCCGACGTTCTTAGCCTTGTGAGCTCGTAACTTGACTATTCATATCATTGATTCTCTCTATTCTCTTTCAAACCGGCCATCCCTCTCAATGGACGACTTCAATTCAGACGAAGATGTCGGTCCTGTAATACCCAAGAAGCGGCGTGCTGGCTTGCAGTCAATCAAGGCAATGCAACAGAACATCAAGGAAGACAGAATCCGTTCGAAAGAGCGGTTCCTATCACTGGGGCTAATAGCCGCGTCTCCCAAAACAAAGAGGTTAATTGACTTAAATCGATCTGATGCGCATAGAGAGATGACCAATCCAGAGTGAGTTACTGTCTATAAATAGCAAATATTCTGGTTTCTCACCATCACTAACAGTATCTGACTTGGAACCCAGATATCCTGTCCAGCCCACTGACAGCAGAAGATCCGTACGTTTTTTAGAAACAGTCGTCACAAAATTAAAGCCAAACCACAGCTACACTGCCACAATCAATGTTCGAACTATCAGTTATGAAATCTTGCATGTCTTCTCTGCCATGCAGTTTACATATCCAGATTTCCAGACCAACAGACATGTTGCACTGCACATTGTCTCTTGTCTCAACAGACTCGTGTTAGAAGGTGTTCTTCTTAAGGGGCATACAAAGCTCCGAACGCGAGCAGGCCACTATATTGTCCGAAAGGTGGCAGCTGCATCGCTCGACCATGCTTTGACCCGCGGGAGCCTCTCATGGGATCAAACTCACGATGGTTGTTCTTCAGAGCGCTATTGCGTGTCGACGTGGTTGGTCTAACCTCCTATTTTCTGACTCACATCATTATAATACATACACTGACGTCTAAGTCTAAATAGGTGACTTCATCCGCGACCAGTATGACAAGAATGCCTACCGGAAATGGAGTGACATACAGCTCACTGTCAGAGGCTTGGCCAACCCTGATAGTATAATCAACGATGTCTATGGATCAATCATCCTCTGGTTTACTAAAAGTCACAAGTAAGTATAGAACTTGATCATACGGTCTACTGTACTGACGGATCCTGGTTCGGGATACCGCGAATGACAACAAACAAATGTCATTTTCCATTGATTAGTGCAAGAAGAAGTAGAGAACGTTTGGCATGGGATAACGGTATGGTGCTGGGATGGGCGGATACACATTGGACGCTGGTCTACAGCGGACAAGTTCCTGCCACTGCATACCTTTACCAATTTTCAACTCCGTGGCGTTTACAAAGTAACCACTCGCCGCGATGAGAACGAGACAATGCTCTGCATGAAAGGTGGATGGGATAGAATAAAGAACAACCAACACATGGATGGATGCGTCGAGAATGAGGCATCTACGTCTAAATATTAAAAGGAAGAATAACAATTCTCCGCAACGGCTGGGGCCTCCTTGGATGCCCGAGAGCCTGAATGGGAAGAGAGGCGTAGACAGAAAACCTCGACCGTGCGGATCTGCGTGATCTGCGTCGTGAGACTTGAAGACACTGCCTCCTGTCCACGAAGCCATAGATGGAGGACTGACAGATATACGGACGGATAAAACGTGAAATTTATTGTCCTTCAGCGCTACCTGACATGGCCAAAAATGTAATAATGAGGAAGACCCACCAATATCTGAGCAGATGCGAGGTATTGTCAGAATAAGACCTTTCTTTTGCCGAGCCATAGAAGAATGCGAGGGAGGAGACCGAGCACTTACTTCTGGAAAAAGGTCTTCTCAACGACCTCTTCTGGATTCTTCCCATCTGGGCCGACAACAACAGGCCGATTGAGATGCGGATGCGGACCGTCTTCGCTGGATAGGAGTTCTATGTTCAAGCCCGCTGAGCTGGATGTTGCCGCGGATGATGAAGACGCCGCCAATGAAACGTGGTAGACCTCGCCCGAGGGTCCAAGATGAAGTCGCAGAGTTGGCTTCTGATCCTCACTCTCTGCAAGCAAAGAGAGGGACGTAAGAGAGCCTACCCATTGTTTTGGGTTGGTTGGCGTGAAGGTGAAGAGACCCACGCGGACGAGATCTTGGGCATCCGCTTCTAAATCACGGCCGCCTTCAAGATCCGCAATCCTTGGTGGAGAATAGGCTACCACATCTGACGCTAAAGACGCAGGATCGTACGAGACGCGGGCGAGGACCGAGGGTTGAGACGAGCCTACCGGCCAATACAGGATGTCGGCTGACCCAGCTTGAGCGGAGGACGGAGATGCGGCGAAAGCCCGAGAGGAGAGTAGG